TCAGCTTCCAAAACCAAAACATTTTGAATAAAACAAGAAACAAAGAGTTTGCAATGTAACCATCTCATTTCCTTACAAATCCTCTTTCTTTAAAGTGAAATTCTACATTATGGAAATTTTGCACGAAATCTGTCAACCACGATGTCAAGGTCGAGGTTGCTTCCCCTATCGCGATGTATTCCAAGCATCATGAAGCTATCCAAACGAGCATTTTATTTATATTAAATATTTAAAATTAGTGTCATTGAACTATTATTATTATTATTATTATTATTATTATTATTATTATTATTATTATTATTATTATTATTATTATTATTGTTATTATTATTATTATTATTATTCTTATTATTATTATTATTATTATTATTATTATTATTATTATTATTATTATTGGCGCCACCACTGGATTCAATAATCTGCTGTATACCTTGCTTTGCCATTTTCGATAGATGAATAGGACCTAATTGAAACTTTACTGAGCACTGATAAATATTTATTACTTCGTAATTTGCATAACGAATTATTTATAAACCATGCTTACTACGATGTAATTATTTAGATATAATGGCACTCGACTTCAACGGTTATTTAGGCCTATATATAATTGGAACTAAAAACCATTATTTAGATATAATGACCTTGACACCATAACACGTGTGCATTACATATAATGAGTTTGAAGTCCAAGTATTATGGTTTTGCGACAGCTATTATTTATATATAATGAAATGTAAAAGCAGTTATTTATAGATAATGATTTTGAAGGCAATTCGTTATTTTTATATAAAGAAATCAGTGAACTTATTATATAAATAATCGTAAGTTACTTTTCATTATTTATATATAATGATTTGTCACCTTTTCATTATTTATATATAATGGAATCAGTGAAATTATTATATATAAATAATAGTTATTTTTCATTATTTATATATAATGATGTGTTTCCCCTTCCTTATTTATATATAATGAAGCCAGTAACCTTATTGTATATAAATAATGTTTGGTTAGCCTTTAATTATTTATATATATTGTAATCAGTAGACTAATTATATATGAATAATGAAACGTTAACGCAATTATTTACATATAATCTTTTAGACCTAAATGCACTATATATAAATAATGAGTTATCTAGTCAATTATATGTTAAATAATGAATTATATATAAATAATTGTGTTAAATAATAAATTTACACTTAGCGCCTCATACATTTGTACCCCCTAGCTACCCGAAATGAAATAGTAGACTCCAAACAGACGTAGTGCGGTTATGGAGATCGAACATGACCGAAGCCTGTTTTTGGCATACAGTACTTTATATAGCCTAGTAGGCCTATACTCTGGAGAAGCGACACGTCGATTGTGATTAGCCTGCTGGTGGTGGAAGTTGGGCTAAAATGCCTTGTTTTGTGCGATTGGTGTCGTATCTGGTTGTTTTATCAGCTAATGTAAGAAATGAATAAACTTTACGTTGACGTATTTTAAGACACAGTAGTAGTATTTTGATTTATTCAAGCATTGGATCTCTAGGTAGGCCTAGGCTAGCCTACTACTTACACTAGGCTGGATAGGCGGCTAGGTCTAGCCTAGGCTTACCGACTCACGACACTACTCGCCGGCTCTAGGCTCTCTATCTAGACCCTAGAGGCTAGACTAGGCCTACCTATGCCTAGTTAAAAGCCTACAGGACTAGTTGGTAGTAGGGCAGGCTAGTGACTAGTCTATAAGGTAGGCCTAGAGAGCCTACCCCTTTCTCAAACTAGTAGTAGGCCCCTAACTAGGTCTCTGTAGGCTAGCCGTTATTATCTAGCCACCATGTCCTGACCTCGACTGTTGTTCGACTACGTAATAAAAATGGGTATATAGGCCTAGGCGGAGTGGATGCCACTTTGAGCGGATGACATCTCAAGTGGAAAAGGATCCATTTTTGCAAACATTAACTTGTACGAATTTCCTATTTTGTCTGACCATTAATTCTGATTTTTTCGCCCTCGCATTCGAGGGATGCGGGGCACCCCCTCCCCCACCCATTGGAAATGTTTGAAGAAAAAAAAATTACGCTTAAAATTCACTTTATTTTTTGAGCTAGCACACTTTCATTTAATCATTCATTTTCAAATATATATTTACAATACATTTACAATACAGTTGAAATTCAATTACATATTTACTGTATACAATACATAAATAATTATAATTTCCTTTTTTTACTACAAAACCCCAGATTGAACACACTGAAAACCGTGAGTATAGTGCTTGTTAGCGGCCACATAGGGTGGTTGGATTTGTCAAGACTGTAATTCAAACATGGAATAATTATTAAGACTAGCAAATACCTTTCAAAACCTTGGTTACACAGTGCATTTTCACATTAAAACAATTTAAAAAAAACAATTTATGTTTTGGATATAATTTGCCCTTGTTATAGACTGCACTAAACGCATCTGCTCGAACTGGCATATAATTTGCTCGAAGTACTGTAGCATCTGCTCGTATTGACTGGCATTTTTTGGATTAATCTTAATTATTTCTTATGTTATGTTTTTATTTAATATATATAATGTTCATAAAAATAATACTATCAGAAGAAAAGCATATTACAAAGCAATTTGCAAAGCAAATGTATAAATAATCATGTTGTCCTTTGGTGAGTTAAATTTAATTTATATATTTTGTTAAGAGTGTCTTCAGTAAACGTTAGCCTATTTTGTTATGTATTTTGTATTATTGTTATTTTCGTCAATTATCATCAATAAGTATCTTTGAATATTTTACTCTACTGTATGTGCGTCTAATATCTTTTCGGATAGAAATATTTCTTAATTTTAGTTGTGATTGGTTGTGTGTCGGGAACAAGAGGAAGGAATGCAGCAGATGTCACTGCCCTTGTCATGCACATCAAGTTTCATTCCTCAGTGTCAAAACTGAGGGATCCTTTCCAGTATAGTAAATGTAATTGTTATCGGGAAAATTAAATAATTGGTTGAAAGGAAAAAGAGGATGACACAAACATACATCAGGTTTTGATAATATCATATTGCTGAAAATGGTGTTCATTGGCCTTCGGATTTCAAAAAAGTTTTATTCCAGACGTTAGGGTGGTTGGGGTTCTACTGTATATATTTCAAATAATGTCTTGATAATGATATAATATTTTATTTTCTTAAAGGTTATTGCTGAGGAGATAAGTAGTGCTAGCAAATGTGCAGACTTGGGCTTTTCGTCAAACCTGCTGTGCAGTTCGTGTAAAAGCTTGGCAGATTTCAAACTTGACAGTTTAGTAGACAGCTGTAAAGAATGTTGCGAGCAAGATGAAGATGAAGCAAAGGTGAAACACAGAATAGTGATACACACTGAATGATAAAAACATGACATGAAATGTTGCGAGTACTGTATTAGGGAATATATTTAGTAGGAAAATTACCTGTTTTGTTGAACAAATTAGTTCGCATGTAGACCTTAGCAATGGTTTTAGCAAGTACAGGTAATTGGTTCAACAACAACAAGATAATTTTCCTACTATACTTAATGGAACCAGATAAACTTCTTTGTGAATATATTTAGGCCTAAGAATTCCATCCACCCATTCTAAAGATAACTGAAATTCTGAGCAAATCTTGCATAAACCATCTCACATATGTACATTTTCACTCTGAACTCTTGAATATTGGACTTGGATGTTTGGTTAGTTTATGGGTAATTTAGAGTTGTTTGTCCTGTGAATAACATCCTATGATATATAAAGTTCATTAAAACATAAGTAACTGATTTTGGTATTTAGGCCCTGATTAAAGAAATTGTTAATAACAGGTAAGCCTACAATAATTATTTTTTATTTTTTGTGCAATGTACAGTATTTGATGAATATTCTGTTCTACTTCGACAGAAATACCACAGTGCAGTATTAGAAGTGTGTGGATGAAAATTGGGGAGATTTCCACAGATCCAAGGTAACAAAAATTAAATATATACCATCTATATTAAAGTCTGAGAAAGAACTCAAAAACGTTCAATAAACAAATTGAACTAACATTCAAACAATTCTATTTCATAGCTTTTATCAGGAGTGATAAAGTTAAGCAGTTTCAAAACCTCAAGATCAAGGTATGTTTTGTTTCTGAATTTGTAACTTATTCAGAAATCTGATTTCACAAAAATTCATATGCACACATAGTCTACTACTACCGGTAGCTGATGCCGTAGCCAGCCATTGGACAGTTGGGACAATCCCACAAAATTTTTCTATTGGGTCTTCACATTATTTATAAAAAGAATGGGTCCACATTGTCAAAAATATGTCTAAATTATTTTATTTTATGCAAATAAAAAGTCTACTTTTTGAAATATGGGTCCAGATTTCTCATATTTATGCATAAAATGGGTCAAATTTTAAGAGAAATAGGTCATTATTTGATTTTACACGTAAAATGAGTCCACCATTATATTGTCGTGCACTGATTTGAAAATCCTGGTTACGGCATTGTTGGTAGCAAATGTTTTGAGTAGTTACAGTACACACAAAACACTGTTATATTACATAATACTGTAATAACAAGAATAAGGATAAACATAGTTGAAAATATATATTTAAAATTTTTTCTACAAAAAACCAGCATACTGTATGCCCCTGCTAGGGTTGATGAGGGACACAGACTTTTTGTAATAGTGATTTAGTTTACTTCTGTGTCCCTGCCAATCATTTTCTGTATAATTGTTATGTTATGTTTTTGTTTGGCAATAAAAGAATAAGAATAAAATAGGCCTCTCAGGGTGTAGAAATTCTGTTATAAATTATATGTGAGAAACTATGGTATATAATGTTGAATGTAAAGATGGTTTATTGGTAGCCTTGCTTACTCATTAGCAAACTACTGTATTTTAAAACTGTTAATTACATTTATACTTACAGTATGTAAAAGGAGCTGATCCTATCATCAAATTCCATGATGAGAACCAAAAAGTTCAGGAAACGCTCGGCATCGAGAAATGGAACACGGATACTGTGGAAGAATTCCTACAAAACCGTTTACACATGGTTTAGACAGCAACATAGCACTGTACTGTTCCAGTAATATCAATTAATATTCAAACTATCGTAACAAAATCTACTTAAATCACTGAATAGTGACATACAGTAAGACAATGGACACATCCAGCTTCCTTTATAAAAAAAAAAATGACCATGTAGCAAGATATTGAGATGATGCTTACTTGGTGTAGGTAATCTTCAGTGATTGGTGCCTGTATAGTAAACTATGTTAAGCAAAGATTCAACCATTTCTAATAAATGTAATTATTAGTCAATTGTAATACCATAATTTGATCTAATTGCAATTTTCCTATTCCCATTCCTGTGCACTATTTGACATCTATTTGTATACAAAGGCCAATTTTTGACACAATGCATACTATTTTATTTTGGATTTTGTTTAATCTTAAGGAATGAACCAGAAGATGTCAAAATCAGTGTACTAAAGAGACATATTTGCATACAAAATTCCCCTTGGCTTTGCTGCAGTGGGCCTAGGGAAAGATTTTATGTTTTTTGTGCACTAATGTACCAATAATGCATGGAAAACTGTTATATTAATGGCTTATTACTGTTTCAATCACTGATTTATTAAAACATTCGTTTATATAGAACTACCATAACTAAAACATAAATTAATTTGTCTATTGTATAGTCGGATCTTATTACTGTACATTAGACAAATAATTAGGCTGGAATGTCTACATTTTCTGGCAACTATTAATCTGCTTATGAATTTCTTGTAATTAAACTTCTTAGTAATTGTTGATGAAATTGTTGATTCTTTGCCCGATGTTCATAGTCAAGTTGGATACAAGTGTATTAATGATGGGTCTTGGCTAAACCTGGATGGGGGTCAAGACTTTGATAATACTTACACTTGCCCATGGCAATCAATATGAAGTTTATTCATTAAAAAAGATGTTTACTAATATTAGTTTGTTGTTTAGTTTTGTTGTGAAGTTTTCAATGCCAGACACTTAGTAAAGAGCATCAAAACCCTGGAGTATCATCTTCCATACAAGGAGATTGGGTATGGTCTGTCAATATTTTGCAGATTATGTGTGATTCGAAATAAATAGAAAGGACTCCATCAAGCATCTAAGTTTCTACAACTGATGTGTTAATAATTATCCCTCCAATCCTCATGGTTATGCAGTTAAGCATAAGGGTTTTAAATTATCAGCTCTGCCCGTAAAAAGCCTCATACAATATTACACTTATGGTCATACAATATTACACTTATGGTCATACCCAAGCCTTGTTGTAGAAGGATGGTTATGCATAAAAATCGGTCGGAGTGCCAAAGTGGATTTTTTATTTAACACTGAGGGCTGCACCCAAACTTTGATGTTTCTAGTATGCTTCCAAAAGCCTCCAAGAATTGCTCTTACACCACTTTATTCCCAATTTTAATATTACTTTTTACAGATGATCGGTGCGGGCCCTAAATTATCAGCTCTGCACGTCCCAAGCCTCGTACAGTATTACATTTATGAACATACCTACTGTAAGCCTCGTGGAGAAGGGTTACGCATAAAAATCTGTCGGAGGGCCAAAGAGGATTTTTTATTTAACACTGAGGGCTGCACCCAAACTTTGATGTTTCTAGTATGCTTTCAAAACCCTCTAAGAATTGCTCTTACACCATTTTATTCCCAGTTTTATATTACTTTTTGCAGATGATCGGTGTCAGGCCCTAAAAAAACAAGGTATTTTCTAAGCAACGTTGCTCATCGGGCCGCACACACAGGGTTTTAAATTCATTTTCGCAGGCTGCAAGAAAAATCCTTGTAGGGCCTCACTTTGCCCACCTGTGCTGTAGAAGATACTGTATGCTTATGAACGATCAGCTCTCCACATTTCAAACACTAGATTAAATTGTATCAAGGATCAACTGTTTACCTTGCACCTCATAATACACTTATGGTCACTATCCAAGCCATGGCAGAGAACACAAATGTTCTCAATAAGCAGTTCTCCATTCCAGTCACTTTGTAAAAGAACATTAAGGTCTCAAAATGACCAGCTTCATTGTTTATGAACATATGTACAAAAATACAATTGGAAAATTTTTAATCTTTTAAATTTTATTTTTTTCACTTCAGAAGTAACCTAATTATGACCAATACTTTCTCTTACTGAAAATTTGCTCTTGCTTATAAGATAAAACCAATCTCATCATTTCATTACTTAATAATCCTACCATACTTCTAGGTCCCTTAATTCTGACTTGAAATATTTACCTATTATATATGGAAAATACAATAGCACATTTTGCTTTACCAAAATCTTCTAGCTTGGTTGGGAACTATACACAAACGACACAACAGAATTTTTACTTATATATTTCTCTTACAATTTGCATTGTTCACGTCACAAATACATTTGCTTTTTAAATAGTTTATATAATTGAATAATAGCAAATCTGTAGATGTTTCAACAGATTTTTTTAGATTCTCATTTACATGGAGGGCAGGAATCTTGATCAACAAGTTCCAAGATCTAAAGCACTGTCCACACTACGGTGTCAAGTTTTACGTGATAAATACTTGTACAGTAATATGGACATGCAGTACGTGTACAGTTGAACTTGAATAGGTCGAATCCAAAATTCCATTGAAAAATTGTTCGACTTAAGATAAAATTCGACTTGCAGATTGTTAATCAAGGAAAACACAACAATTTGCCACGTAAGAATAAGTTCGACTTAGAAATAGATTCGAGTTAAGCAAAGTCCATGTAGCAAGTTTAACTGTATATGGGCATACTGATGTCAAATCACACCAAATATGGGCAAAATCAGGTATTTGTGCAAAGTCCGTGTAGCAAGTTTAACTGTATATGGGCATACTGATGTCAAATCACACCCAAATATGGGCAAAATCAGGTATTTGTCACATATAAACTTCATAGCGTGAACACAGCTTCATAGGAAAAAGTTTAATGTTACAGGCAGGAGTAGAACAAGTAACCACAGAGTTATTTTAAGAATAATCCTACAGCAAGACCCTAAAGATCATTGTGTTATTTTTCCCTCTAAAATAGCAGCTTGTCTTAATCCAAATCATTGCAGATGGCATATGTGGCAAAGACAAGCCAAACCAGTCACTCGTCGGAAAAATCGATTTTGAGTTATTAATACAGGGTTAAACAGTACAATGAGAGCTATCAAATGGTGAAAGAATCATTTAAATCCGACACTTTGTTATGAAGTTACACAAGTTTAAACATACAGCTGTTTAAAGAACAATATTTGAGAAATCAGCCTTTAAAGTTTACGATTTCAGGCATTTCTTAGGCAGAAACCATCACCAAATCGTTAAAAATTGTTATTTTAACATTGAAAATAAAAGGAAAATAACAGCATAGCATGATGTATAGATATATAAAGGTTAGTTTAGTGCAATAAAATAGATTTCCAAAATTTTGACATTCCAGCGTGTTTTGGCCATTATCTCCAAAACAGGATTTGCGACGAGTGACTGGTTTGGCTTGTCTTTGCCACATATATTCTTTATTAACTCTATGATGGTACTTCCTAACAGCCTGGAATTACACTTTCTGAATTCATTCAGTCTTTGAGTAACGTATACTACCACAGGTTTAAAGATCAGTTGAAGACAAGCAACAGATGAACCATGTCTGAGAGGTTTTCAAATCTTTTGATCACCTTATTTGCTCAAAGAACAAAAACCAATTAAAAATTGCATCAATCTTTTAATAATGCAACATGCAAACAAGTCAAAATCAAAATCAAATATATTTATTAAAAATTTTTTTTTAAAATTCAGAAGTTGTAAAGGATAGGGTTTTCGGACTGTTGATAAATGTACTGTAATTGAAATGCACAAGAAATTCAACAAGCACCTAACAAATTCTTCTTGACATTTCTGATTATTAATTTCAATCAAAAAAATTACACTCTGTACAAAAAAAAAATTAATAAAAAAGCAACAAACATAAATGCATTCACATCAAAACAAACCAGTGTAAATGAAAAACATGGCAACCAGTAAGTTACAAATCATAATACTGTACAAATAAAAAAACAAACAAAAAAACCCTCAATTAAGTGCATACTTTCCCAGACTCATCTCAGGCATGCAAGAATAAACCTATATTACATCTTTCTTTATTTTTTCTGTCATATCTGCCTGCAGACAACTACACATCTTATGAAGGCTGACAGTTATGAAAGGGTTGCTTTATGCTTTCACAAACTGCGATTCTGGTGGCATTGATGGAACAGTTTGTGACCACCTCTACCGTTTACTTTAATCTTTAATACAAAAAACTGTCTCTTTCGATGGTTTACCTTCCAAACACAAATACAAATCCGTTTCTCATCTGAGAGGAAACTGTGGCTCCTTTATTCTTCTTACTGAAGATTGCCAAACCCGTAATGCACAGGCATAGGCACACAGATAGCTAATTACGATGTTTGATATTCCAGAGTTGATGCAGGATTTGGCAGTAGAGGGTGCATGAGAGTCGAGACCACCTCATCCCCACCATGGTTGGGCCCAAGGTGAGAACATTTTCAGAATATAGACTTCTAGGTGCCCGAAAAATGCACTCTCAGTTTCATACCTTCATTAAAAATCTTACCAGTACTAGGCCTATGTTCATATTAACAATACAAGAATTATTTTCCTTAATACAATGCACCCCCTGCATCCACCACCCCATATATTCTTCTAGGTATTTCAAAAGAAAAAAAAGAGAGCCACACCCACCAAGAACTATATTTTGTTTTGGTCTGCTTTCTTATTTTTATCGTGGGAGTTGGTTTAAACTTGCATAATTCTTCATATGACTCCTTCCATGTGTACATGTATGTCATATTAGTGGGCACTTCATTTTAACAGCGCTAATTTTTTCTTATAACAAATGTACACGATATACATAATTAATATACAACTTTAATGAACTGTCTTACAAAAAATAGTTGTTTTTTAGATTTCCCCTTAAAATACAATTACACACACTTTCCACAACAACAACCTATTACAAAGATTCTGCATATAATACTACACACATTTTGAAAAATTTCTTCCAGTAAAAACCTTTTCAATTTACTTTTTATGAAGGGGTTAATTTCATAGTTGACCTTTACCCCTAGCACCAACATGTGAAGGTCTCCAATATAAAGGCTTAAAAGGAATGTATCAATACTTTTTTTTTTAAATTAAGGGATTTTAAAAACTTATTCTTGATGGAAAGACATTTGTCTGGAGAACAAAAGCACAGGAAAATATTTTATTCTACTTCTAAGCTCAGTAAATATATTCTATAATCTCAAATGGAAAGACAGTAAAGTCCAGAGCAAAAAAATCAACATGAGGAATTATTCCATTTAACTAAATCAGAGTTTTATTTTCAATTGATTTAGAAATTGTCAAAATTTAATTGATTGTTTTCTATCAAGGCATAAAATCTGCAGCTGATCTTCTTTGAAACTTAAATCTACAAATTATGAAAAATATATGGGAGTAGTTCAAAATACCTCTGTATTATCCATGCTTGTTACTATTTCAAAAATCTATAGAGTTCTTCTATATCAATCATGTGTAAAAAAACATGACTACGAAATTGATCTTTTTCCTTAAAACACCAACAATGACATTAAATTATTAATGCGACATGAATATTTTTTTATACAAATTTTTGTATAAGCTAATCAAAGACTTAACGCACTGTGTATGATTTTTGTGTTATACCAACAACGTCAAGTGATTACTGCTAGCCAAGATCTGCAAGTGTATATTTTATAACCATAATATAGTTCCTATTGCAATAACCCATACTCAAACATTAACATTTTCCTACTGACCAAAAAATAATTAAAAATTCCCAAACAAGCAGTTTCATCAACGATGAAATAGATATGTTCTACTTAATATATCAATGTTTACGACAGATCTGAAAACCGATTCCACAATTCCATTCCAACAACAAAACTGACAATAAACGTGAATTTAAACAATGGGAGAAATCCTAGAACAATCAAGGAAACATGAAATATCAACTATAAACAATGAAGTCTACCAAGTATCTGGTATTACAAAGGCAAATCCTACAAATTGATTAACAAATCTTCTCGCCAATCATCAACCTAAAATAAATTCCTTATCTAAACTACGAAAACTGCATTTCATTCACCTATGTAATATATATGCCAAGTTTGTGTTACATATATTTGCTGTTATTAAATCACACCAGTCTGCGCTTATATATCTATTTGTCACTTTCACGAATACCATGACCGCTGGTTTGACTCTCACATGGACAAATTCAGCTCATTTACAGGAGAGCTCGGAGGTGATGGCGTTGAGTAGCGTGTTCGATTACGGAAGATGTGAGTCGCGTGCGTTGTCCATTGATTGACTTCTGGGTCGTAGCATTCAACAGTGTTTAGAAAGTTCTTTCCATCAAAACCGCCAACCGTGTAGAATTTTCCAGCGACAACAGCGATGCCAACGTTGACACGAGGTGTCTCCATGCTTGCTAAAGTGCTCCACTCGTCACTCTCAGGGTCATAACATTCTACCGTGTTCAGCACATTCGACCCATCACTGCCACCCATAACATACAGTTTTCCTAAGAATAACATAATTGATGTTAACAATTAAAGATGACCAACTGATACTTGTCCAAAGTAATTAATATTTGCTTTAATTAAGTTATTATTACTCTTCAATAGCATTGTACAGTAGAACCCCACATTTACGAACCCCGATTTTACGAATTCCCGATTTTACGAACGTAATATAAAGGTGATGACGTCATAAAAATTGAAGCGAAAGATTAAAAAAGAAAAAAAACCCCGCTCGAATTGTGCCTGTTATTACCATGCATACAACACAACACACCATACTATACAGTACTATGCAATTCTTAAGTGAAGGAGGCCCTCTAACGGGCCTCTTCAAAGTGTGTTTTTTATGGCTTCACACATGTGCATGCGACAAATTTTTTTGCATTTTAAATTGCTAAAATTGACATTTGCAATAGCTAGTCAAGTTTAAATGCTAGTCTGAAATAATCAATCAAATTTGTCACTTTCATCCTTCACTCAAAGATGTGTATAAGAGACAGGGCCTAGGCCCCCTCAGACTTAGCTGCGTAAGCCTGTAGGCCTAGCCTAGGCCTAGTTTATGCCAGTGTAAGTAGTACCATTGCAAATATATAGGAATTTTGGTCAACCCCGATTTTACGAATACCCGAATTTACGAACGGCTCTGGGCCCGTGCCGTACGTAAATGAGGGGTTCTACTGTACTTTCAGAAGGATATCCCACACCCCATGGTAATAAAATAGGTATATAGGAGTTTGGAATGGGCTTATACTGTAGCAGAGATAAAAATATTAGTAAAATCTGTAGGCACAGCTAGGTCCTACACCTTACAAAAGAGGCCAATTCGTGACAAAAAAGTACACCAGAGCAAGGCTTGGCTAGTGATTTCACGCCAAATATCTATTTTAAACCTCATGTGCTTATACTTAAGTAGCGAATTGTGCATAAAAAATATTCAAAAGTGAGCTTTTACCCGGGAGAAAATTGTAATACAAAATGTACATACAACAATAGATGATTAGTTATATCGATATATTATATATTTTATCGATAATACTGGTATTTAATAATTACACTAACCTTCATATTGACACACACCAGCTCCTCGTCTATTTGATTTCATGTGAGTTATGATTTGCCATTCATCATCATCTGGACAATACATTTCCACGGAATTGAGGCACAACCACGAGTCCGACCCACCGACAGCATAGATCCTCCCTTGCAGAGCGATCACGGCAACCTGCGATCGGCCTAAGTAAAAAGAAATGGAGGGTGACAAAAATGTTCAATTATGAAAAGTAATACTAATATAAGTTGAGTACAGCCCCAGCACTGAGGTTCACAAATTATCACCATTACTCTATACACTGTTAAACATGAAAACAAAAAGGGAAAGCCAGACAGCTTGGTGGTTATGTTTATCCAATACTAATCACATTGATCTGTCACATTATTAATTACTAGTGTAAACAATAGATTTGTATATTGACTGTAATTTAAGGAGAATCTGATCAAATTTGAATTGTTGAATGCAAATCAATTTTGCATATCCATTGTAATAAGCAGTCCAGTCAGCCTGGCATCAGCCAATGTATCGGGTTCAGAGGCAACTACACTTGCAAAGTCACAAGTGTAATGTTACAATTCACATTTTTAATCCTTGCATATTTATTACAAGCTACAAGAAAACTTTATTGGCAATGCCTGTATGATACAAATATTTGGTTTTAATTTTATTTTCAATACTTTACTATGAAACACTGTAATATCAAGAACATTCAACAAACCTAAATATAAAGTAGATAGTTTTACAGTAGTTTTAGTATCAATGTTTTTGTTTATTTGTGAGGACTAAGAAAATATAATTTATTTTCTTGTCAAAATTTGAAATGATGATGCAACATCAATGTCCTTTACATTGATATATGATTTTGATACTGCAACTGTGCTTTTTGCTGTTACCAATTTTGCCGTGACTGTAGGTTTATGTAAATTGAAAAAACATAATGCATAAAATATATTCTAATACATAGTAAATTAATCTAAATGAGGATCTGCACCACTAATTGTAAGAGGCTAAAAAAAACATAACCACAGATATACATTTTTTTCCCTTAAATTTGGGCCAACCAAATATGGCAACAGTGGTCATGTGAGAAGAGCTTTCCGATTCTATGTAAAGCTATGTCCAGATTATCAAATTTAAAAAAAGAAATTGTTGTATGCCCATATATAGTCATGGTGTGCCTATATATAGTAATGATTTGGTACCATGATCATATGTAAGCATGTCGCATGTTTTTCTAAAATAAAATTTGATAGTGTGGCTTTAGGTTTGAAAGTATTACTATAATGTGGACATACAAAACAGGATGCAAGGTAAGATACTATTGTTCATCAATAATGTTCATAATTTATCCAATATTCAAAGAATCTATGTAATCATTAACTATATGCCTGTGAATGCAAAGGAATCTGTCAGAATTGCTAGAATGTTGTCATTCTACTTACAGCACATCCTACAGTAGTTTCTCATGTATACAGGTACATGAATAAAGTCCAGACCAGCAAATTTTCTTTGACAAAAAAATGTTATATGCCCATAAAATTTGATAGCGTGGACCGGAAGTAATATAATATTAGAATGTGGCTACAGTATTTGCCAACACCTGCTAATTACGACAGAGTACATAGGCCTATTGAAATCCTAGTGTTAGCCACACTGATGGTCATGCTGCAACATGCTATTTTCAAAATGGATCATTTCCTTTTAGATTCCTAGATTAAAGCATAGAGTATATTACATTATACCTTCATGATTAAAGTGATGGGAAGACTATATAAACCTAAATTATGGCTACAGAGAAAAAAACTAATATTACTGGAATATGAATTTAAATTGCCAAAGCTAACAAATATTTATTTATTACATTGATTATCATTCTTGATGTAATTATACTGGACATTAAAAGACCTTAAAAAAAAAAAATTTATTTATTTTCTCCCCACCTAGCATGCCTTTGTATTAAAGATTTTGTAAGGAGTGAAATTGCTGATAATTGTCTGTTTCTAGATTGTGATGGTACAACGGTATTATTATTGCCTACCGATTCAAGATTTGCATTTTAAATTGCTAAAATTGACATTTGCAATAGCTAGTCAAGTTTAAATGCTAGTCTGAAATAATCAATCAAATTTGTCACTTTCATCCTTCACTCAATATCCCTCTTAAATTAAACTAATAACTATCACAAGTCACTACGCAGTCATTCAACTTTAAAAATTGCACTGAGTTATTAATGTAATACGGTAAGTGGGTCTTTAAGTCAAAATCACTAAAAGATTATTACTAAATTTTGGACGTACCACACTTATTCCCTGTCTAAAAAGATAGTAGATCTTGTAACTTTTTCATAACCATGACGGTCATAACCATGAAAAATTCAATGTTAAAAACCAATTATAATAAAATCATGTTTGACCCTTCACTTACCCTCGACTAAGGGTGCCACGGATGACCACGCATTGGTATGAGGATCGTACACTTCGCACGTTCTTAGTCCTTTACCACCATTAGTTCCACCAACAACGTACAGCTTGTCATTCAACACCGTAGCACCTGTCATCAGAAAGTCAAAGATTAAAATGGGAATGGCTCTATTTTACATATGCTAGGTAGAAATGCATTATATCATATAAATCTAATTTTCCATTTGGAAAAAATTGTGTGAAATTATTATTAACTCTTATGAAGACTAACTGCAGCCAGTCATCATAGTTAACCATAACACTGACCTGAGCTGTGTCTTTCCGACTGTATATTTGCAATACGAGTCCACTTATTTGTATCGATGTCAAACACTTCGCATTGCTTCAATTCTACATGACCATTGGAACCGCCAACAGCGTACACCTTACCATGAATAACGCCTACTTCAAACCGTCCCCGTGGTAATGTCATCGGCGCTAAAGAGGCCCACTGATTGGTCACAGGATCATAAATCTCAACTGTTTTTCTACATTCTCCACGATCGTAACCACCTGAATTATAAAAAGATTATGAAATTTTAATTTGGTGGCAATACCTTTGTCATACTCTATGATTAAATAGTTGATGATCAAGAGTTTATGGCCCTCTGACATCAGGGTGGAATTTCCCTCCCCATTTTGTGAGCACTCTTTAATCAAATCAATCAGTCACGATGTAAATTCACAAGAAATTTTCTGTCGCTCGTCAACAAGGTTTTTAATTTCCTCTTTAAAATGTCAACAGATTGGTACTGTATATTGGTAAAACACTGCAATGAATACATCTTGGCTATTCAAACTGTCTCAACTTTAAACAGACCAGTAATACCGGGGCTGGGGTACATCTAAACTGCTTAGTTTTCTTGGGCCAAAACATTGCTTAGTCAAATCAAAGGAGTCCATAGAATTGGATTTGCTCTCAAACAATAAATGGGGCCAGGTGAGATACAATTCTGGTTGACATTAAGTGTGACAAGGGCTAACAATTTTTTTTTTTTTATATCTTCCCCAATATGTTTCCTATTGTCCTTTTATTTATAGGAAGGTTTACATTCTATAAACTTATATTTTTATTTAAATTGTTTAATCTTTAATATTGTATGTTATTGCTACATTCAATTTCTGCATAACTCTTTAATATGTGGCAAATGTTTTATGCTAGACGGGAATAAATATTAAAAATGTTTGTATATTAAACTCTATATTATAGCTTACTCTATTTTTTGGAGCACAATATTTTAGTGAATTGTCTATTGAGTGGTATAAACACCAGGTGGTCAGTAGATCTAACATATTTCAGTAGACATTTAACTACTTTTTTTTTTAGTAATCTGTATTTCATTTCAGACAACTTCACATAACCTGACACAAATAACTGATCGGATTTTAGAAATCAACTAAGAAATGTTTCAGAAAGTCTTATCGTGCGGCTTAAGGTATACAGGTGGTTTCGTCATGAAAGAAGGCAGTATTTCTCTTTTATAGTATGCATGCTTTTGGGGACATAAGAAGACAAGTACTATGCATATGGCAGCTATATCAATGTTTTGAAATATGCTAGTTTCCTCTGTGTTGAAAAAACTCATATCAAAATTTCTGACGTATACATTACCAACAAAATAAGTCAAGGAAAGACGAAACAGGTGCTGGACACCTGGAAATTTGTCAACCCAGAACAACACAGAAATGAACAGAACAATTACAAAGAAATATAACAACATGAACAAGAACACAATGATTTGTATTTGATAAATTTATTCGCACTTCGCAAATTTAATACCTAATATCACACATAGTTTATGGTGGGCCTTACACTTCATTTCCATCAATGCTTTTAGCCACATATTTTTGCATAGCATTAAAATGTTAATTTATCTGCCTGATTGTTTTACATTAACAATAAAATGCAATGTTCCTACAAGAAATCTCCTTTTATGGACAATAAAAATCTTGAAATGCGACTCCGAAATGAGTTTGAATGAAATCACAATAATGCTGATATAAATCATATTGTAGAAACTGTATTCCCTTAGGAGTAAGACAACAGAACGTGAAGACGATTTACAAAAAACCATCAGAGAAATGCGAATACTGAATTTCTCCATTTAAATGATACCTCGGGGAAACCTTCTCATCCTAATCACCACACATGCATTAATTGTCCATTAAGACAAAATAAGTATTTACTAATCAGCCTTCCTGGAATTAACAGTTGCAAATAGCTGCTTCAGTAAGCAATTCCTTTTAAGAGAAATTTGGGAGACAATTCCTTGCACTTTTAAAAAAAGTGAGCATTTCTTAATGTCTGCAAGGACCACAGCAAATCTCCTTTAAAAAACAAAGGCGTGCTATTAAACCAGTTTATCTGGGAAACTGCAATGTTGAACTAGGGACACAACTATCTCCATGGTTATATGCGCAAGCAGTGGTTAACCCACTTCCAGATATTGCTATCATACGTATTGCCATTTGTTATGTTATAATTAGAGGCACATGTCAAGAGGCTTGAACTGCTTATTCAAATACAAATCAAAACAATGAGACATTATTGCTGCGAAGCAGCCAGTTCATATTCTTGACAGCAATTTGACCATTGAAAGGTCATTGTTTGTCAAAAAACAAGGGCCTAAGACGACTGAAAAGCTGAGTTTCCTTCTGCCGGGGAAAATCAATTACTTTAGGCGACGTTTGTAGACTAACCTACACGTACCAACGTCCGCATGTGGCGACGCTCGAGTATTACTATTCAGCGTTTTTACTATATTTCTAGGTTTCCTATTTCTACGTTTAATCGGCGCATGTCTCGGCCACAATATTTTGAGGCCAATATTATTTACGAACCCAGTTAAACTTATTTACTAGCCAAATTCAAGCTGCTAATTATTACATTTAGGCGACGCTTGTTGTAGACTTGCATACACGATACCAACGCTCGTTTTTACTATGTTTCTACGTCAGCTCGTCAGTGTTCTAATATAGACAATGGGTCGTGTCTCATATTATTTGTTATATTTTTATTATTCATTATTTTCACTTGACTCGCATAAATAATTTTGTTCGAAGAACATTTATATGCAGTTGTACTTCGCAGCACTTCACTTGCAATTTCTAGTATTTTCACTATTCTCATTCTGAATTAATAAAAATAAGAAACAAATAAAAATTTAAAGTATATCACAACATGTATAGCAATACAATATTTTGAAATTAGATGTACAATAAAGAACATGGCAACCACATTTATGTCTATAACAGACAATCATGTAGTAGGATTCCTCATGTGGTGTCTAACGTAAATTAATTTAATTAGATTTGATCTCAGCTTTGACTTGCATAGGTTACCACTTAACTACCAGCTACCGATCTCAAACATTTTGATGGTGTCAATCGTGAAAATTTGTCGTCTTGACAATCTTTGAGTTGTACAATTCTACTGTCACTGTTTGATGATTCAAATATATTTGATGTTAAATTTCAATTATAAAAATAATCATTTTGCTTGGTGTCATGGTGGATATTTTGCAAAAATGGCTCTTTTTTTTGTGGGTTTGTGTGTGTATATATCTGCATAAAATTAATCATTCTCTATATACCACCTATCCATCATGAAATTCATTGAAACCTATCCATCTTCCTTCATTAAATCAAATCTGTTAGAATACTTAAGCAAATTAAATCAATCAGTCTTCATACCAACATAGGAAACTTAAAACTCCTTCATCTAATTATTCTGATTAGAGGCTTATTCAATCTACTCCTGAATGTTTAATTGAAACAAAACACTAAAGAAAAACAGCACATCAGTAATGTATGCATTGTGTACTTAATGTGCATGTAACTCAGTCTTCTTACGCAATAGCCTGCAGGGATATTCTCCTCTAAGCTACTTAAAGATGTGCATATTATAAAAACCAAAACTGTACAGTAAATGAAAGATATATAGTCAATAAAAACTATAACAATAACAGCAACTTATAACAAGAGAATTACTGTATGAGTGATGCTGTTGATGTTAGTTGCTACTGTTGCGGCAACAACCATACACTGTTAACATTAATATAAAATATTCCTCTACCTTTATTAATTAATAGTAAATGGCTATAGTGAAAATGTATTTCATTTCATTTATTTGTCTCAAACATTAAAATGTACAGGACACCCCAATATAATATGTACTTTTCCCACTGGAATTCGAACACATGACCCTCAATTACTGTTAAGTGGTTCTCTTTATAAACAATCGTTTGGATTTCCCCATAAGGAATTCCTTCAAAGTATTGCCCAATTACAATACATGATTTTAATACATCACATGATCTTAACTTTGGTATAGAAAATTTTATTGATTAATTTTAATAAAAATTAAATTTTATTTTTGGCCAATTAACACACCTGCCGCCTTAAAAAAATGGATAAAAAATTAAAATAAAAAAAGAAAAGTTTTTTATATTTTTATTGAGCCCGCATCTGCCTCAAAATTTCCAAAAATAAGATATGTATATTTATTCCTAATTATAAAAATTTAAAGTATTTTAACCATCCCATTGTTACACTGTTTACATTCAACAATAACATTTTATTTTTAATTTCTCCTCTGGATGTTTTTGGCAAAAATATGTGCTAAATAAGAAAAATTAATATTTTCATTTTTTTCCACCTTCCTCCAACAACATTTAAACCAGAGCCTTGCAGGTGCCAACATTCCTATGCATGATACATGATTTAACCAACCATATTTTCTGATTATGTCATCATAAATGACATAATCAGAAAATACGGTCTTTATGGCCCCAAATAGTGATTTTAGACCACATTGGTAATGTAATTTGATAGGCAAATTACAGTATTATATTTAGCTAATTTCTTTGAAAAAAATTTGTAGGTCTTGGGCCTAGCTAGGTATACAGTATTTTCATTTTACAGTAGTTTGGAACGATATTGGGAGTGGGGGAGCCTACTAGACTAAAATTTATTTCGTTTGTCACCCAAAGTTTTCATCACGATGATCAAGAACGTATGCGATCTTTGCTGCAAAACCAAAATAGTTTCATCCATGCCGACTTGCCAATCGGTTAGCGTGAGCCCTGAGTGAACACTGCAGAAACTTCACATTGAACTTCACAGCGAGGTAAAACAAAATGTCGGAAAACTTTTCTTTTGACGCATGTGCATTTGCATAAATGTCTACACACACACTACATACAGGAAAAACGGTGAAGAGTGATTACAATAGTTCCTATTGCATTACATGCATAGTCTCACCTTAGTAGCCTACAGTATTTGCTCAGTTGGCAGAGCAATAAACTGCAGTCTGACAGTAACAAAGATGATGACAGAAATTATGATGTATATTTAAACATATTTACTACCTTAGATCAGTATTTGTATCTGTACTTCAATAGTTAACTTTAAAAAAATGTCATTAAATTATTCAAAAAGATAAAAAAATGTTAAAGCTAAAAAATGAACAAAAGTTCAATTGTACAATTCCATTGCTTACTTGCGCATGGTAATGTTCTGATAATGTTACTGTATGTTGTTCCACTAATGGTGCACATTTTTCATTCATGATTCTAAATATTCCCCTTGCTTTGTTTACTGTACATGTATCATTACACACTTCATTTAAACACTTGCCTAGCAGAAAAGAATGTGTTGACAATATAGGAAATTATACAGTGACGGTTTTCAATGTATTTTCTAGAAAGTATGGAAGCTACAGATTTTTATACACTATGAAATATGAACTGAAAATATTTTACTGAGAACTTTCAGCAAACGGTGAGGGACAACTAAGTGAGACAACCGACAAATGGGGAATCCAGAAATTTAAGATGGGGGGGGGGGGGAGGGGGGGGGGGGGGGGGGGGGGGGGGTGGCATTATTAGATCTAAAGAACATGGGCCCTACCATGAATAGGGCTATGGTACAAAATGTTATGGCCATGGCACCTCAGATTGGATATGAACTAGAAAAAAACTAGCTTGATTGCTGTGAATCGTATTTGTTAGTTATTCTGGCCTAATAGAAATCCACATCATTTTTAGATTTTTTCCTGTAATTATTATTAAGTTCTAATAGATAATTTTTCTTGTAATATGTGACCGGCTCTGGCAAAACCCCCGTTTGTCGCAATTTCTAATTTCCCACACCTACCCAAAACATTTGAGAATCAAAATTTTGAACATTTTAAAGTTTTTGCATTTTAAAAAAGAAGATATATTCAAGAATGTTTCTGCAAAATATCAATCACTAAACCTAACTAAAAAGTATATTAAAATTATTTTTAAAATACAATCTTAATAAACTATTGATTTTGAAATCTTTGGAAGCTGTTTTCTCAAAACCTACTTGGCCGATATCCAGTGAATTCAATATTCATAACTAATTCTTAACCAAGATTCAGGCAGAAAATTAAAATACCAAAAACTCAATTGAATTTTTAACAAACGGCTGGTTTTGCTAGAGCCGGTCACATATTCTAATAATCTATATTTATTTTTTATACTTACATTCTGCATTTATCTAATTTTATTTTATAGTTTTTGACTCCCACCAGGCTTGTTGGCACACTGAAATTGGTTACCAAGCAACATTGGCTATTTTGACTTAATTGCTAGACAATGCTTAATACATCATGCATTGATGGCCATGATTATGGTGAAGTTATGTTATTGAGTACATACAGATTCAGTACTTTTGGGTATAGGCTAAATTGACTATTATGAGTAAATTGTTATGGCCGAATTCACCCAATACAAAAACCAGCTACAAAAAATGTCAACACAGAATTTGGTCACAAGTGTATTCCGACACAATAGTAAACTTTGGTATTTATTTGTTTGTATTTTTAGTTCTTCAAGAGCAGATATAAGAGTACAGCATAGTTTAGTAGGTTATTCCAAATAATTATTATTATAATTTAAATAAAAAACCCTCTCCATATCTAGTCTTTGTGAATGGCAAGAATTGGTATTGTATGTTGGTGTTCCCGTTTATTTTTATTGTACATTTTCTTCTTACATTTTTGTGGCAATTTTATTGAGTGTTTTTCTCTTCTTTTTACTTATGATCTGCCTGTCTTTTGTTTTGTGCAATAATTCACCTTATTCATCTCTTGGGTTGTTTTTCTTATTGTTGTTTTATTGGTATTTTCATATATTATGTGCATGTTATTGTGATTTTTCTGGCTGACTGTTCGTTGTAATTTATTTATAGTTTTTCTTGATGTAAACTTCAATGTAATTCTGTATTTTTAAAATTTTGTGTGATTTTTATTGTGTTTATTCTGGCTATTTGATTGTTCGTTGGAATTTTAGTGTATTTTATAATGTTAACATCAATGTAATTCAGTTTTTTGACTGTAATTTTGATGAATAATAAAAGTACTTGAATTTGTAGTAGCCACTGTTGCATACTATAGTGAGCCACAGAATACTGTAACATGTAGTAAATAAAAGATAAAGTATCACATCAGAGAGTTAAAATATATTTGTACATTAACACAAGAGTACACCTTTTCAGTAGCAGCTCTGTGCCACGATCCTTGAGTCTTTGGTTCAAATTTCTTGCTGCTCTTTTTAAGTTTCAAATTTAAGGCTGAAATGCAGTATACTTATTAGAAAGAACACATAGCCTGGTCATGAACACCATGTCTGTCAACAGGCAGCAAACAAAATGATTGTGTGTCTGCTCTATGAGCGCTTGCTCAACACAATATACAGCATGCCGACCGCTGTTGGCAGTCTGAATGAATCGTTAAAAATGGAGAGTCGCTTGATGCATTTTTGTAGTCCCTATCATCATTACTGTGCAAGTATACCAAAAGATTACATATTTACATAGACAAAAAACAAAAATTATAACTAAAATGGTTGTCATGTTACAGTATATGCTTACCCAGTGCAATGAGTTTGCCATTGATTTCTGCTGTTCCGATGGCAGATTTTGCATACTTCATTTGGGCTAGCATGGGATGTAAACATTCGGATTCGATGGACAATATCCGGTGCATTCTGGGAGATGGTGAGGACCGAGGTGTGGTTGGCTTCTCATACAATGTGATGGAGCTTAAGATTCCATTCAGTATTGCCACGGCAACATAGCGTTCTCCTACAAAGACATGAAACAACCAATTAAAATGAATGAAGATTTAATGACAATTATATTTAACCAAGTGCAAGAAAGTTACTTTTTAGAGTCAGTAATCAAAGATATTATCTTTATAATTTATTCATCAATATATACATTATTGCTGCGAAGCAGCCAATCCATATTCTTGACAGCAATTTGACCTCTGAAAGGTCATTGGTTGTCAAAAAACCTGCGCCTAAGACAACTGAAAAGCGGAGTTTCCTTCTTTCGTTCTGCCGGGTAAAATCAATTACTTTAGGCGACGTTTGTAGACTAACCTACTCGTACCAACGTCCGCATGTCGCGACGATGGAGTACTATTCAGCGTTTTTATTATATTTCTAGGTTTCCTATTTCTACGTTTAATCGGCTCATGTCTCAGCCACAATATTTTGAGGCCAATATTATTTACTAGCCTATTTCAACGTGCTAATTATTACATTTAGGCGACGCTTGTTGTAGACTGGTTTTTCGGAAATACCATTTTATACACATGCGCAGATCAATTCGCCAGCAGCGAGTCATCGGCCAGCAGCAGCGAGTCGCCAGCAGCGAGATGTCACTGCAGCAAAACACTATTGTACACGGTACCAACGCTGTTCTAATAATAGACAATGGGTTGTGTCTCATATTATTTGTTATATTTTTATTATTCATTATTTTCACTTGACTCGCATAAATAATTTTGTTCGAAGAACATTTTATGCAGTTTTACTTCGCAGCACTTCACTTGCAATTTGCAATTTCTAGTATACTTAATAATTTGAAACAATGTTTATTAATTATAGATACAGTATTTTTTATTGAAAATCATTAAAAGATTCACTGTCTTTAGTGTGATAACAAACTGACACGTAGAGTAACATTCACTTTCTTTTACCAAAGGCAATAGCTTGGATAAAATATTAAACAACAAAAAGTAAAACAACTATGTACAATAACATTATTATTTGGGTATTATATCAATAAGCAAAAATAATTTCATTTGCCCACATGTTTTAAATTCCAGTATATATGACCTATTAACCCACATTGAAGTGCTCTAAATACTGTACTGTAGATGTCATTAAGATTTGCTATTATTATCTTATGAGCATGGTAATAAAAAGTTTTTTGACATGATTTATCATCAAACATAAATCAGCATTTTAAACCAATGCCATACAATACAATTTCTGCATTACTCACTCCCAATTCTTTCAAAGCATTGAAGAAACCAGAGAAAAAGATTATCAAATATTTGTGTTGACCTCAAGGTAAAAAATTGTAATCTTAAATATTGGAACACTGTTAATTATGAAACAAAAACACTACAGCAAAAATAAAAATGGTGTTGAGACAGTTCATAAGCGACAATTAAATGACACGTCATAGTTAACGAGCACAGGTCAATTACTAATGAGAATAGAAATAGATAGAAGGCCATACATCCTCGGTTGACACGGATTGTTTAAAGGCTTCTACACTGAGCACACAGCAAGCCTATCAACCTACTGGTTAGCCTCAGGACGTGCTTTGTTTACACTGGTCATACGGCAAGGAAATAAGGCAAGCTCCAAGAGTGAAACCAAGACTTCCATAACATGATCAATTATGACTTTACCTCATCATCTAAATATCTTAAATGACAAGAAACAAACTATATAATATAAACATTAAAGATTTTTGTATAAAATTTCAGGAATTACACTAAATATTCATTGAGTTAATACTTGTAACTTAACGACGTATATGTGTTATGCATCAAGGAATATCACAATGTTTGTGGCTAATTACTTGTGACCTTTCCTCACGAGCTCTGACACGCTGTTCTGTGTTTTTCCACATGTCCTTTTCACCAGTGTTCTGGGTGTAACCCAATACACACCCGGCCGTGCAACTTCAATATGAATGAACGAGGACATCATAAATCATAATTACTCTTATGTAAACCATACTACTCCTACGCTTTGATCAAGGTGGTATTCAATTTATTGCATCAAATTATGTTAGCTATCACTTCTTAACAATATATTCTGTGTCTGGAGCTTCAAATATTTGAATAAATGACTGTAAAGTTATTAGTTTTGAACTTAAAAACATAATGAAAAAAATATATTTTGCTTGCCAAATACATGCACATAGAAATGCCATTCCTACAATATTCTTTATATGAACAATTAACTAGTAATAGTATTTTTTTGTAGAAAATCTAAATATTAACTGAATTATTTCCAACATTGGATGTTGAGACAATTTTTTATCTTGTTAAATTACAAATTGAATTTTTAATGGCCTTTTTTTATTAGATTTACCACATTTAATATGTTTAGAGAATATTATTAATAACATACTTGAAAATGTAGACAATTATACAATATATTTACATAGTGCTATGTCATCAGTTAAAATATAAATTGAAAAGTATGACTTAAATATTAAACGTATAGGCCTACTAGGAATTAGGCACTGTAAAATGTTGTATGTTACAATGGATATATTTTATAATCATCTATATTAGGTTATTCTGCTTCATATGTGATTTTATCTTGCAGTAATTTTCCAAATAAAGACAAATCATACATTATATATTGAAATTACATTTCAATTATTATTATCCTACTGATATTCCAACTATATAGGAAATTGTATAGTTTTGTTATTGTAAATTAAAAATAGTACCATATATGCCTACATAGGTGTTTAATAGAAAACTCCTACCTACACACAAACAAAAAATAACATAAAAAAAACCACCAATATTAAAAATCTTGTTCAGTGTCTGACTTAAAAGGCTAGCTTCAGTACGATAGATAATAGTATAAGACATTCGACAAGTTGTAATTAATGGGTTGTTAAAGTTCTGAAAAGCTTAGGAATAGCATTATACATAAGAGACAAAATCTACTAATGATAAAATCTTCTTATATTAGCATTTGTTCCATATATTTTAATGTTGCTGTCAACATGATAAAATTTTGTAAATCATTAAAAACAAATAAAATCTCTCTCCAATTAAAGACCAGAGACCGGTATTTCAAAATTTTGAGTCTAGATGAATATTCTAAAAGGTATTCAAGTGCCAGCACATTCCACAATGAGCCAAAACACATATTTCAATCACTGTTAATACCAGCATAATGAAGCATGCACCACAAGGTTAGTAAAATCCAAGATGAAAAATTAAAGACTCTGTATCAAATGACTTCTAAGAAAAAATACTTAACTTCCATTTTACGTCTGTACATTAAATTAAACTGTTGACATGTTGTTTATTAATCAAATGCTCTGGTCAGGGAGTGTAGGTTATTTTTGAGGTTTGCTTTAACAACCATGCCAAAAACCCTTAATTGTAAGGGTCCCTCAAGGTGGACCACTTTTTTTTCCACCGGAATCTCTCTTTCCAGCAATTTTCTCCTTTCATTTCTTGATGTGTTCTCCCCTCCTCCTTTTCAATCATTTTAATGCTGCATGTTTTTTTTTTTTTAAATGTCTGTTTGTTGTTTGTCTAGTCGAACTTGTGCTTGTTTTTTTTAATGTTTTATGTCCCCTCTTATTTTTTTCGTTTTTTTTTTTTTTAATTTGTCTTGTGTGAAGTTTGATGTTTTTTCTAGCTTTAAGTAATTTTGTATAATGGAATTGTAATTTTGTTTAATTGAATTGTATATAATAAGTCTCTTATACACATCTCGATGTGTATAAGAGACAGACCCTGA